AATGGTTTTTCTTTAGAAGTAACCAATACAACATCCTAAATATTTTCTTGTTTTATATTGGCCATCTATCGAATGCTGCAGTTAATCCATATTCATCTGATTGTGCAATTTTAAGCATATTTTTATTAAAATCTTTTGAGGCGTTTGATAAAATTTTATCACCAAGTTTTTTTCAGATTGGTAGTTTAAAGCCAGGGGCAATAAAATTAAATACCATCTAAGTCTCCTCATTTTCTACAAAGGAAAAAAGAAGACCATTTGAGATACATATTCTAATTACTAATATTTCAAATATAGATATATCTTTTTGTGATATTGGTCTTCTATAAAAATTATGTAAAGATGTTTGTTGGTTACTTATTTAAGAAGCTATATTAGAAACTGTTAAGATAAAAGAGGAAGATTTGTGATGCTTAATTGATACAGATGAAGTAGCATTATTATCATTTATAGTATCTGTTATTAAAAATATTATAAGTTACTACTTATATCTTTTTAAAATATTATACTTGAAAAAATTGTATATACCTGTATTATTTTGCATATCTTTTAATACTAATCGAGACAAGATTTCTTTTACCTCCTCTAAAGTAAATGCTTCCTTAAAATTATCACAATTTGCTAAATAAGAATGGTATAAAATAGACTTGTTTGTCATATAACATCCAGAAATTAAGGCTGTTGTCTGAGTTTCTCCATTTTTTAAACTACAGAAATTGCATACCACCTTTGAATTGGATTTATTAGTAAGGTTTTTAATTAAAGTAAAAAATTCCTGAAAATTATGTAGATTGGGCATTTTTTTCTTAGTATGATCTATAGTAATCAACTATATTTAATTTATGATTCTAATATATTATAAATCCACTAATATACTTTATACTGTAGAATATATCTTTGATACTGATCCAAAGTATTGAGACGCTTATATAAAGGTTTTATGCACCTTGCTTCAATTAATATAAAGAAATTTTATCCACTGACATAGGTATAAAAGATGTTAAATAAAAGGCACTCTATTGAAGGTAGGGATACAATTTGGGCACGTTTAACAACTACTCACAACTAACTATAACTACTACTACTTTTGTGTATAAGGGAGTATTAGATCTTCTTTTGACTATTTAGAAATGCGAAAAATAAGTTTATTAGCATTTTTGCTATTGCTTTTTTATACTTTTTTTTTTTACTAATCATCTATTCTATTTTTAGGATTCTAGTTATTTTTCTCTCTCACCATTTTCTACTATCAATTGTTCTCAAATTGCATTAGGTAGGTTTCTCTGACATTTGTCTATTTTTAAACCTTATTACCCTTATTAACAGTACTTTTCTTTTTTTTTCACCAATACAAACCTGTTAAATTATTGTTTTGCACCACTATTCTGAAACCTGGGTGTTGTTGTGGTATTATCTCCTTTCTAATTTGGCTATTATTGATTGTTATCAAATTGCGTTAGGTAGGCTTCTCAGACATTTGTCTATTTTTGAACTTTATCGCCCTTACTAATAGTGCTTTTCCTTCTTTTTTCCTAATACAAACCTGTTA